TAAAAGCCTTATATATAAGAGGGATTGAACCATTTTTGTGGGGAGATTCATATTTTTACATTGTAATTTATATATTGTTGTAGTTTCTCTCTCTAGAAAGTTAGAGATTAGGGTTAAAAGAAAAGAAGGAAGTGGAGGCTCATCTTAAGAACACATCTCTAGATCCACATACTTTGTATCTCTAGAGCTTCAAAGAATAAGAAAAAGAAGAGGAAAAAGAAGATGGAGTCATGTTTGGAGCTTGCCTTTGAGGATTTCATGACCACATCCACCTCCTCCATGATTGGCTAGATCTACACTTAAGGCTTGGATGAGCCCTAAGTCTTGTGTAATCTAAACCCTTGTATTTCTATTTTTGGGGATTTATAGATATATTATTGTGATTAGTGGTTAGCCTTGTGATTGTTGATTCAATTCTTCCTAGTGATTCTCTATTTTAATTACATGTTGTCTTATGTGTGATTATTTGAGAATTGATCTCCACACTAGATTATCTATGTTGATTGCATGTCTTTGTGTGATTAATTAAGGATTTAGTGATGGCTAAGTATGGGTTTTCATTGAATGGGTTTGTAAATTAATTTGATAGATTATGCTTACACTTGATGGATTGTTCTACAATTTAATTCATGTTTGTAGGTAGGTAGACAATCTATGTTTGGTTTGATACTCCACACTTATTATCGCAAATTCCATGATTCTCTAGATTGATGTTTGCTCTCATTAGATACATTTATTTATTAATTAATTGATTATGCCTTTGTCTTGGTGGGTTGTTCTACACTTAGTTTACTTGTTGGTTAGTGTTGGTTGAGGTTTGCTATATTAATGTCAAGTGCAAGTCAAAAGTGTTAATGGCTATACATCTTCATATTGGTATCTGTCACAGGGGTATTTTGGTCTCTACACTGTGTGTTAATAATATTTCACAGTTCACAAATCCTCATTTAGTTATGACACTGCAATATTCATTTTTAGTTTTATTCACATATGTATGGCAGCAAATTATAAGACTGATGAGAGGGCATTTGTGATATATCCAATGTGCAATGAAGGACCCTCCACATTGTGCTACGTGCACAATGGTCCTTGTGAGAGAAGATAGTGATAGAAATACAAATTCCCAGATGTAGATATCAGCATTATACATTGACCCTTTAAGGCTGCAAAAAATGTGGTTGTTGGGACAAAATGAGGGCTGTATAGGGGCATTTTAGTTCATTCACAGTATATATTATCTGCATACATCCCCATCTATGATTGGCTAGTGATGGAATATACTTATCCACACTAGGGCAGCAAATTCTCAGTATATATATGTTGTTATAGCTACAACAGTTGAGTGTGCCTTTTTGAGAGCCTGGAATAAACCTCTTTGAGCTGAAAATGTAGAGGGCCTTGAGAACTATAAATATACAATGATTTCATAGAGATTCTTTGATGTTTTAAGAAGCTTTAATCTCTGATATCAATTTGAAGAAGGTGCAAATTTAGGAGTGACAACAAGCTGCAGCTTTCCTGGTGTAAGAATCAAGGTCTGGAGGTGAAAATTGATTGTGTTTATTTCTGAGGCTGGAGCAAGGGATGAACAAGTGTATTTGAGGCCTTTACATCTGCTAAAGGCATCCACAAAATCAGAATTGAGCTAGTATAACTTTTCATATCTCAAACCTGCTCTAATTTGATTTTCTAATACATAGTTGTTGTCATGAGCTAGATATTGTGATACCTGATCTTACATGAACTACAACTTGATGAACATGCTTAAAGTGTTGATTAAAGTCTGTACAAGCTAATGTTTAAGACAGAAAGTGGCCTTTACTAAATTGATCCTCTAAACCCTTGTTTTCTAGGGTTTTTAGCCTAAATAAGCCAACCTTGTGAAGTAAGTGTGAATTATCTTGCTAGAACTGTGTTGATAATCATACAAGCAAGTTATATTATACAAATCAAGGTCGAGGGACTCATTTGCAGACCTGTGCTATCATGAATTTACAAAATTACCCTCAGCCACTAGAGTTCTGTAGAAACAAGCTGAGAGCAATTTTTAAAGCTGAATTTAATAACCTTATTGATGTGCTTTGCCCCTGAGATTTTGTGTGAAGTTGAACTGAGTATGTGACAGTACATTCCTAACTTGAGGCAGTTCAAAATACCTATTATACCCTCTGAACTGAGCTGTTTTGCTACTGAAATCATACTACAATGCTGTATACTTGCTTATGTATCTTGTATACTCATTTGAGCAAGCTCAAATCACTGTGTTGAAGTTGTGGAGGACATTGGTTAAAGGGTGTGTGGTGCATTCCAAGGTCGTGATTGATAAACCTTGTGTTTTGGTGTTTTTACTCTTGTATTGAAGCTGAGCTTACAATTTTTTGAATATCTTGCTGTACTTATGGTTTTTTTCTATTGAGGAAGATTCTATAAGTGTTACAAGTCTGTGGAAGTGGAGTTTGGGTTCCCATTGAAGCTATATTGCAGAGTTTCCCTTTAAAGTTACAATTTTAGTGTTTTATTGAGGGTTTTGGCTATTAGAGGTTATAATGCTATAACTTGTTGTTTGTGCTGTTCTTATTAATTGTTCAAGTTTATTTCATCTAGTGAAGATTGAGGAAGTGAGGTTTGGACTGATACTGAGGCTGAATTATAGTTTTACCTTTATGAGGCCAAAACTAAGATTTTGTGGTTAACAAGGCTGTTGTGTACCTTTTATACTTTACCTTGCTGGTTTCACTCAGTTTATCTTAAGCAAGTGTATCTAAACTATTGAGAGTTATGGAAGACAATTGCAGATCATTTCTGAAGCTACATTGTGTGGTTACCATTATACCATTGGTTTTAGGGTTTTGTTCAACTGAGCTTTAAATCTGTGTTACCTTGCTGAGATCATTGAGGAAGGTTCTATGCAAGAGTACTTTGGCTATACAGAGCTGTTGAAGTCAATTGCAGGCCATTCCTGGGGTTGCAATGTGAAGTTACCTATTTGCCCTTCATTTTAGGGTGTTTGCCTTTGAGAGCTATTATTAATCTACCTTACTTCTCTAATTGTGTACTCCATTCAAGCAAGTTAGTTTTGGTGCAACGAAGGTTGTGGAAACCTAGTTTGAGCTACCATTGAAGCTGCATTGTAATTTGACAGTTATATCCCTCTTGATGCAGAGAAATGAAACTAGTGTTTCTTGTGTAATATACTTTGAACTATGTATTCCATCTAATCTTGTGGTGCAAAGAAAAGAGGTGTGTTGACACCTTATTGTAAATGGTAGTGAGGCTTTGATACCTCACCCCATTGTTGATTTAGCTATTGAGAGCTTTGGAGTCCAAGCAAGGTTGCTTAGGATAGGGGGAGTGCATGTGTGCACTAGGGTGAGCTAGTGTGTGAGCATTGGTTGTGAAAACTAGTGTTTATTCTTGTACAAGGGTGTGTGCAGAGAGTGAGACAGCTGAGTGTGTAACAAGATTCTTACAACTAGTGGAGGCTTTTATTAGCTGTGGCCAAGAACCAAGGTTTTTTCCTATTGAGAGGGTTTCCTTGTACATCTTGTGTTCATATGGTTTAGTTAACTTAACTTGTTATATATATCTGTACTTAAGTGAAAAGAAGAAGAAGTTGTAAACTGACCAATTCACCCCCCTCTTGGTCCAATAGTTATGTAGACAATTCACTCTTGCATTAAATAGTTCACACTTTTACATGTAAATTGTGTTTATGTTTGTGGCTACATCTAGATTGCAATAATGTATTCCCCATTAATGGAAATCAAGTGGGTAATTACATGAGCTTAGTGGTGATTCCAACACCCTAAGACCTCTTTTCATATCTGTTAAATCTATATCTCTCACTAGTTTACTTTAATTGCATTTTAATTTCATTGTTTTCTAGAGTAATCAAACAACCAATCCTCTCTTTGCAATCTTTTGATACGCCAGAGTCGAAGTTAAATTCCAACACGTATAATCCCTGCGGACGATCCCTACTCGCTATACGTCATTAGTTGTAGTAGTGGTTTTTATAAATGTAAATTTGACTAGAAAGGCTTCCGAAACCACATTCATATTTTGACCTTGCGAAGCGACCTCTCGCATTAAAAAGTCCGTTTTCTTAATCACTTAGAGGAAGGGACGAGACTCGTCAACAACGGTTGGAGATGCTCTAACATTTGTCCAAACAATCAAAACATCATTTAATCCAGTAAAAAGGCTCTTAATTAAGTAAAGTACCAAAAAGAAAAAAAACTACATAGACTGAAATACCTAAAATGCCATTGAGAAAAAAAAAAGACACACTTAAAAAATTTGGGATTTTTATAAATTTTATTTGAGGTTTTTATAAAAAAATGGATTATTGGGGTGTTTTGGAGTTTTATAAATATTTTAGAATTATTGGAGTTTTTATAAAAAATTAAAGACTGAAATACCTAAGATATCCTTAAGAGTATTTTGAAGTTTTTATAAAAAAATTGGTCAAAATTGTTGACCACTAACAATTTGCCAATTTAAAAAAATATAGGGATTTATATACACTTTTTAAAATGCGGGGTGTTTCTTGCACATTATTTTTTTTTTTAACTTCACCTTTTTTTCTTTTAAAGGTTTTATTTTATTTTATTTTTTAATTTTATCTATCAGCAAAAGAACAAATCTGTAATTAAAGAAATCAGTTTGTTTTGACGTAAAATATTTTCTTTTTGTAGGTAAAATATATTTTTGATTTTTATTTTTCGGTAGTTGACAAAGGTTTAGGTATTTTTTTAATTTTTATTTTTTGATATTTAACAAAAATTTAGGTCGAGTCCATCGGCTGATTCGTGTAAAATAACTTGTCAAAAGTAAATTATTTTTATTAAATCTTAAATATATATATATATATATATATACATATTTTATAAATATTTTTACTGCAATCAAAAACCCAAAATTAAAAAAATATTTTAGTGGCTAAATTTCAGTCTAACTTGCCAGGTGAAGTGCAAGAACATAAAAACCACGGGCATATATGACGTCCATTTTAAATGAGCAACAAGGAGACCTTCAGAATCTATGAACGAGCGAGAGTGACATGCAAAATCCAGTGAGGGTGAGTCTCTATAGTGGGGGTTCTGGTTTTGACTTTTGGTTTGGGTTCGAACAGCTTAGGCGTCTCTGGTCAGTTGAGTATCGGTGTCGGCCGTAATCAGACACACACACAAACACACAGATTTCGTCCATCTTCTCACAGATCCGATTCATCCTCTCTGTTGTAAGAACCCTCCCTCCAACTCTCTCTCTCTCTATATATCTACATATGTATATGCATCTATTGTTTCATTTCCTTAAGAGAAAAAAAAAACTTGATTTTAGGGTTTAGAATGCGAAGAGGACAGTGCAATACTTAAATACTTGTGTGTTTGTGTGTGCATATATATGTATATATTTGCTGTTGAAGGTCTGAACAATTTCATGTGATTCGATCTCTACCTTAGACCCCTATGTTCTTTTAATTAAATTTGGTAATTGTTTCTTGTAAATTAGATTTTAACCTATATTTGGGTTCTGATATGTTGATAATTTGTTCGGTTCAATTATTTACAGCCATAATATTGATACTAAAAAGCTCCCAATCCCATCCACGACATACCCACATACCTCTAGAGAGAGAAACACTGAGTTTTAGATAGAGAGAGAGCATGCTGTATGCTAGTGCTCTTCCAATGTTGAAAGCAGAGTTTCAGAGATTTCTTTAGAAGTTTTCTCTGTTTCTTTAATTAGGTTCTCTCTCTCCATGGCTCAGTTCAAAATTTTCAAGAACATGTACTGGTTGGAGTTTCATTCAAAGGAATAACATTTTTGGTATTTCCTTTCCTTTGTTTCCAAGCAAGGAATCACATTCTTCCTCTATGAGTAATCTGTTTCTCTCTCTCTCTCAATACACACACACACACACACACACACAGATATATTATACTGTTTTTGTTGTTCTTCTTCTTCTATGCTGATTTGATTAAATCTTTTCACTTGCAATTGAAACTCTATGCAGGTTCCTTTGAGATTTCGGGGCACAAAATCTAAAAAAAAAAATCTTGAAATAGGTGAGTTAATTTCTGTTAAGATCTTTTAGTAAATATTGTCATTACTTTAGTTAAGTTGAATTCATCGAAATTAATGAAATTTACTGTATAACGAATTTTTGCAGTTTCTGAGAAAATTCATTTCGTGATAGAAACAACATCTTTACTTAAATTTATACACAAAACAAACCATCCTAGAAATTTCAAGTATATTTACTGATTTTCAAATTCTAAAAGAAATAAACAAATTCATTGGGTCCTTTCTACATAGCTTCACTGCTGTTTATTATAAATAGAGAGTGAAACATAATTATTTTTTGTTGATAAGTAAAGTAGTAAAGAAAGCATTCAAAAGGGGAATGCGTCCCAAGAATACACAGGACAAAGCCGAAAGCCAAAAGAGGGATCCCAAGGACCCAATGAGGCCAAGAAATAAAAAATCTCCTCTATAGATGTACAATATCTGCCCATACCCCAACAAAAAATGAAGCTAATAAGATGGAATTTCAAAGTTCCTATGGGAGACTCCTCCCCATCAAAAGATCTGCTATTTCACTCCTTTCAAATGCATCACCTAACACATAGAGGAGCTACCCTCCAAAAAAAGATGAGCGTGAGAGCCCACCCCACACCCTCTCCAAGAGTTAATCAAACCTCTCACCGTCTAGGGCATAACCCACTACACGCTAAACAAGCCAAAGATCAAATTCTAGCAGTCGTGAGCCACAGGGCAATGCAACTACAAGTGATCTACTGATTCACCATCCTTTTTGCACATGTAGCACCAATTAAGTGTAACTGCCTTCTCCTTCTGAGGTTCTCAAGTATCAGAATCTTGCCCTAAGTTGCAGCCCAAACGATAAATGCCACTTTGAGGGGAGCCTTCGAACGCCACACCTTTTTCCAAGGGAAATTAGTCTTTAGAAACCCGAGAGGCAACAAAAAAGGCCCGAAACTCGAATTTCCCCTGGGAAGGTGGCATCGAATAGAGGGAATCTGGGCCACCACTCTATATATCAGAGCAAGAAAGTTAGAAATATCATCCAATTCTCAATCATGAAAATGTCGCCGAAAATGCACATCTTCCGCTATCAAGCCAATAACAGTCAGCTACCTAATCATGTTTATCCACGGCAATCCTGAAGAGTCTAGGTGTTGCAAGGGTATTTGTCTCACATCGGATCCGGATGGAAAGTGAAAAGGGTATAAATGGGTGGGTATGCAGCACTACACAACAACTTAAGCTTTTGGGTAATTGGACAAGCACCCACCCGTTACAGTTGGTATCAGAGTCAGATTCAATCCTTGATTCGATGCCACGCCAAGTGCCCAGCCCGAAAGGCTTCCGGGTGAGCCACCCGAGTAGGTAGGGTGACCCGACCATAATGAGGGCTTTGTGAGTTCGGGTGGGGGAGAATGTTATAAAGGGTATTTGTCTCACATCGGATGCGGATGGAAAGTGAAAGGGGTATAAATAGGTGGGTATGCAACACTACCCAATAACTTAAGCTTTTGGGTCATTGGGTAAGTGCCCACCCATTACACTAGGGAACGAACAAGCCAATGGATGCTCACCACACTAAACGTCCTCCCAAAACCGAGTGTCCCTGCCATCTTGAACTTTGAATCTGATGTGTTTCGAAACCTCATCCCAGCCCTTCCGATTAAACTTCCAAAACCCAACACCACCAGGAGATCTAACCACACGGGATCACCACCCACCTCTCTCCGCCCATAAACGGCAAGAGATGACCCTCCTACATAATTGATGTCGCTCCCCTCCAAATCTCCAAAGCCACTTCCCTAGGAGAGCCCTATTCAATGGATCACCCTCCTAATACCCAAACCATCGAACTGGATAGGCCTGAACACCTGCACCCAACGAACAAGATGGTCCCCCACCCTGCCTTAAAGGAAATTCTGCTGAGGCCTTTCAATCCTTTTAGCCACGGTGGCCGGGATCTAAAAAGGACAGAGAAAGTATGTGGGAAGACTCGCCAATGTGCTCTTCATAATTTCTTTACAAGAAACAATAACTGAATTTAATTTAATGAGGAATCTAAAAATACAAACTATTTATGCTTTTAGGCACAGGGATTATCTTTTTCCTCAAAGCTAACTGCAGATACATGGCCCATCTCCCATGTTCATAATTGGCATTTAAGCAAAAATATTTTGTTTCAGAAATTTATTGGAAATTATTTTGTCTGCAAAAAAAATGCTGTCGGGTGAACTGCTGGATGTTGTGGAGTTTCACTCCCATAGAAGCTCTGCTGAGCTGAATACTTTCAAGTTAGTGGTGCTTATACCATGAATCTGTGAATGATATGAGGTGCTTTTACTTTTTTAGTTTCAATGTCGGCAGTGTTTTATTTAGCCCACCTTTAAAAGAATTATATTAATCGTTTTTGGACATCTGATACTCTGCTTCTCAAAGATTTGGTTGGTGCCACTTTATTTTGTATTCAAATCTGTCGAATGGCCTTTTTTGGTTTTACTCTCAAAATATATGTGAATGATAAAACCTGTGTCTCAGTTTGTCTAAATTTCATCTCACTGTTTAGTGCGTTTCTTTTCTAGCTGGTTGGCTTATGGTAGTATATTATTTTTGCAGGTGTTTGAATTGGAAGGAACAATGGGCTTGTCATCTGTTGCTACTGTTAGTGAAGCAATAAAATTTTGCATATTTGATTTGAGAAGGGGACAACATGAAGGGCAGGAGCTGGACAAAATTTTATTTTTCTTTCCTGCTGATTTGCCGTTCTCGACACAACTTTCTGTGATAGGGCTCAGTGAAGGACTTATCACTTTTACAAGGTGAGCAGTAGCTTCATTGTTGTAGTATATATCTTTTTTATTTTATTTTATAACTATTGTTGTAGTACATATCTGAAAACAAAGAGATGAAACCTAAGCAAAAAATTGTCTATGGTGTGATGACATGTATATATATATGTGTGTGTGTATATATATATATATATATTTTGGGTGCGGTTGGCTTCAAATAATCAGAAAAGACACTACTCAGAAATGATATGTCTTATTTACTCATGGAAATTTATTCTGCTACAATTTTTTTGTTGCCTATTTTGCTTCGCTACTAAGTTAAGATTTCATATCTTTTGCTTCTTTTTGGTAAAGCTTGGTCCTTACTCCTTGGATTTCAATATAATGGGAGATGATCCACTGACTCCTGATCCCTCTTACATATAAAACACCAATTGAAATAATCTGCCGACGCCGCCTTCTCAGATTGTCAACAGTCAAAATCCGCTCTAGAGCTGATGTGCAACCACAAAAAGGCCACTTCAGGGGGCTTTCGAGCACCATATTCCTTTTCACAAAAAGGATATCCTTTAAACATCCATCTACTGATTCAACTGGCAATAGAACGTTCGCACCTCGAATCTCCCATGGCTCGTGCCCGCCCAAAACCCACTAGTCCATCCTCTCCCCCAAGACTGGCTGTCGATAAATCAATGCCAAACTCAACCATATCCTCTGCCTCCCAATCATGCAAGATGATTGCAGTAAGTGACCAACCCAGCCCTATCCACCACAATCTCATCCAATCTTGGAAAGAGACTCTCTAGCAGCTTCTTGCCATACCAAGGATCCTCCTCGAAGCTATTAACTACTTCATGTTGGAGCTTGTTAGGTACAATGCTGTGTGAACCAAATGCTCCATGCACAAGTTAAGTTGTCATTTGGAAGATGTGCTATGTATTGCATGTGTATGCAGATTAAATCTTTAGAAAGAAGTGTAAAAAAGAAAGTGATTGATAAAAGAAGAAAACATTGAAAGTGAAGATCCATAGAAGCTTGAGTTAGAAATATAATAATTTTTGTGGTGCCAAAATTCTGTATTTGAAGTTTCTTGGTTTGGGAAAGTGATAATTTTGTTTTATTTTCAAAGAAATTTTGTAAGAGGAAAGGGCTAAGTCCAAGAGTGTGAACACTTCAAATTTACAAAGACATGAAAGAAGAATTTTGCATAGCATGCAAATTGTAAAGAGAGCTCAAATCTTCCAATATTCGTATATTTATATATATATATATATATTTTAATTTTAAAAAAAGGCGCTCAAATGGGGAGTGCAACACAAAAACTACTACACAAGGACCAAATGGGGCCCCTAATCTCTCAATATATTGACAAAATCCATAAACTCCATGACATTTACAACTCCTTCCCAAAACTCGGAAAAATAACAAGCTAACAATAGAAAATTTAAGCTCCCCAATAGGAGTCTCCTTGCCATCGAAAGTTCTCCTGTTTCGCACTCTTTGCAAGCCCCACCATAGACAAAGAGGAGCTGCCCTCCAAGCATCTCGAACTTGGCCTCCCTACTATACAACCGTGCCAAGCCTCGAGCACTGAAAACGTGGAAAACGGCATGACCCACTGAACACTAAACATACCCCAAAGCAAGACCCAACAATCCCGAGCCACTAGACAGTACAAAAGGAGATGTTTCATAGATTCCTCATCCGTTTTGCACATGTAGCAGCAATTCACAATAACCTGCCTTCTCAGGTTTTCGATCGTCAGAATCTGCCCCAAAGCTTCCGTCAACCCCAAAAGTAGCCACCTTCAGGGAGCTTTGGTGCGCCACACTGCCTACCATGGGAGAAAAGGTCCCTGAGGCCCCACCAGCCTCTTGTAAAATGAACGCACCTCAAAGCTCCCCTGTGAGGAAGCCACCCAAACCCACTCGCGAGTCCCCTCTCCGTCCACCTGACGGCGATACAGAATTGCCAACAGCTCAAATATGGCCTGCAGCCCCCAATCCCCGAAAGGCCTCACAGAGTGCACTTCCCAAGTCAGCCCTCCGCTATCAAGCCAATAACAGTCAGCAACTGAGATCCGCCTGTCCTTGTCAAGTTTTCTTTTACCAGCTCTTTGTTTGATTCTTTGTATTCTAGATTTTATTTTTTTGTGGGATCATTTTTTAGTTTAATTCCAATTAGGAGTGGTTTTTGGGTTGCTTTATTGCTAGGCCTTCCAAGAAATATTCAAATTGTCAACTTATGTAAACTCTTGGCAAGTTTCGGAAGTTTTTGGGCATCTTTGATAATGCTATTGTACCAGAATGTGAATTCAGAACTCAGAAGTGATATTGGAATTTAAGTTCTAAAGATGAAACTAGTATTATTTGCCTTCTATCTCTGTTGTAATCCTTCTTCTAATTCCACTCCTATTCATTATTGCTTTCAAATAATCCAGCAAGTTAATTTATGGAAAGACTACATCTGATACACATCAAACTTAATCTATTCCAACCCTATCCTTTTACAAACCACTACGCATTATTTTGAAATCGTGAGTGCTATTTGACAATGGTTTGGTACTGGAGCTGGACATCCTTTAAAATCTCTCTTACCTTTCCTTTTCACGTCCTTTCTTCTGAAACCCAACAAAAAAGAGTGGAGAGAATGGATAATTTATTGTAATCACGCGATGTTTAGTGCTATTGCAACGGTAAACTTATTGCAATTGCCCTGATGTTGGGGCTTTTATAGACTACAATTCTCTTAACATGTGCATTGGTGCTTTTTTAACCAAGGTCAAGGAAGTGTATGCGCACACAAAAGAATGATGCTTCAACCTATAGACTTTTCACTTATTTTATAATTTGTTTCCCTTTTCTTGACTAGTGAAAAGTATACTAAAAATATCACACAAAACTAAACAAAAAAACTAAACAAAAATGCATTTAGGAGCAGGCGATGTATTCAAAAGCATACAAAATTAAGCTCCATCTTCTAGAAATATAAAATTATAATGTAACATCATTTTCTTTGTGCTATGTATATAAACTTTATCTTCTCAGAAGTGCGCCTGTTACCTCACATAAATTATTGCTTTCAGAGTTTGCCCAACTATCTTATTGGCACACACCTTCTTTCCAACAATCTTAGCTTTGGTATTGACCATGACATGACCCAATGCATGCCGAAAACCTAAACAGCATACTCCAAATGTTAATTGCAAATCCGAAAATGGCTAACTGTCTCCTTTATTGCTTTGGCATATACAAAACCAATTTGGAAGCATTTCCACATAAGCCCTGGATTTTCAATAGTCAATATCACCCTTACATGAAATATGGAGACCTAAGAGGCACTTCAACGCCTACTAATAGCTTTTCCGAAAACCAAAAGCAATCACCACACAATACATCGAAATGATTGCACCCCAAATATGCCGCCTCTATTAGGCCTCCACTTCAAAATGTCCTTTAGCAGCAGTAGCTGAGAGCTTCAAACATCTCCAGGAAAAAAAAAAGAAGAAAAAAAAGGAAAAGGTATCCATAGGATAATTAGGGCTCGTACACTAGTCTTCTTTGAGAACATGAGATCATCCCTTATAAATGCTTCTTCTTGGATGCAATGTCAAAGTGATCCAGGAAAACCTCTTTGGGGGAATCCAACACCATGTTGATTTGAGAATCTCATTCTATTGACCATCACCTATAACAAAGCCAACATCCTTGGATAACTTCTCTTATTCTTCCTAATATGATCTGCATCCCCATCAAATAAGAGCTCCCAAACTCTTCTGAAATCCAATCTATTGTTTGATATTTGAATTTCTATACAATAGTTTATCATTTGAAATAATAGTTTTGACATAATATTCCTATAAGGGAGTCGCAATGGATTGTATGAGCAGTGAGCACACTCAATCCTCCTTTAAAGACACAGCTTATTTCTATACATAATATTGGGACGGAAAGAAGTACATGGTTGATAAAGGAACTTGATGAAACACAATATGGGCTCAGAAAAGAGAGATGGTAAAAAATGATGAAAAGGGAGAACCGACCTTATTTATTGCAACATCCTCTCTTCAGTTCACAAAAGAAGGCTAAAGAGAAGATTTGGGTGGAAATAGCATCATCCAAACATTTATTTGTTTTTATTTGTAGTCATATACCATGAATGACACATTGTGACTATAATGACACATGCATTTTAGTATGGTGACATTCAGATAAGGTTTTTATGCCAACTAAAGGGTTGCCTAATTAAATCTTAAATGGATGTTGTTGCATTTCTTTTGAAGCACATTAATGGTGATACCATTTCTAGTCAAGCCTCTAATTTGACGTGGTTGAGTTTATTCCGGAGCAGAAAGATGAGACAATAGGTTTTGCTTGGTTACGAAGGTCTCATCCTTTAGGGGGACATTACATCTAAAGAAGTATAGACACTTTTAAGAATAAGCTATGTTCGTGTTCGTGTTAAATACTGGCACTTTACAACACTCTTGGACATGTGTCGGACACATCTTGGAAGTGTCTAATTTTAAAATATGTCAACATGTGCTAATTTTTGACGAAGGAATCTTGAACATTAGATAAGACTTCCCTTTATCACACTTATCGGGAAAAAAAGAAAAGAAAAAAAGACTTCCCTTTATCATGAAAAAAATGTATAATTGCAATAAAAATCAAATTAAACATTTATATGAAGTTTTGCCATATTATAAAAACCAAAAGATATAAGAAGTTTTATTTAATTCGTGGACAAGAAAATAGGAGGAGTGTAATCAAATTATATGCATTTATATATAAGTACATGCATACAGAATACATTGGAATGCAACTTTATCAAAACTAGAAAGTGAGATGCAGTGAAAATTGACGGTCAAGAGATACCAACAAAGAATTTCAAATTGAGAAATGCATCAATCACAAGCAAACCATTATAGTCTGACAAACAGGCCAGTCGCCTAGCGGTACCAAGCTCTTACTTCTCAAAGAGAGGTTAGGGGTTTGAGCCTCTGTGGAGGCATGTGTGTGTGAGTACCC